GTGCAGCCAGTCCAGAACCATACTTGCATCCAGTCCAGAACCATACTTACATCCAGTCCAGAACCATACTTACATCCAGTCCAGAACCATACTTACATCCAGTCCAGAACCATACTTACATCCAGTCCAGAACCATACTTACATCCAGTCCAGAACCATACTTACATCCAGTCCAGAACCCTACTTACATCCAGTCCAGAACCCTACTTACATCCAGTCCAGAACCCTACTTACATCCAGTCCAGAACCCTACTTACATCCAGTCCAGAACCCTACTTACATCCAGTCCAGAACCATACTTACATCGAGTTTAGGAAAGTCTGTGAGAATCTGCGAGAGTCGATCGTGGTAATTCTGTTGTGTGAATTTGACTTTTCTCATATAAAAATGACGGATCCTGCTAATCTGATAACTTTTGTGGATAACGGTCGGTGTTTTTCTCTGAGTTTTGGACAAAGTCAGATCAATAAAGTCCTGCAATAGAAAACGTGAACAATGAATATCCTGCAGACGGATCTGTAATCGCCAAGTTTTATGAAGTGCAGACAACCCTGTTCTGCTGCAAAATCCTCCCTCGGCTGATCACTCCGAGAAATCAGTGACTGAGCATTGGAATGTAGACAAAGATGGATTCCGCAGCACTGCGTGTGCACGGGGGTCTGAAAACTGGACGACCCTGGATACTGTGGTGCTGGGGGCGAGCGTCCAACCGTTAGCTTGTTCTGGCTACAGGACGGAGCTCTGAACAATATCAGAAGTGTTTGCCAGCAGACTTCAGTTGGGGTGCAGATGTCCTACAAATATGCCAGCTGCATTGAAAGAGAACTATGACCCAACCTTTTTTTATCGTATTTCTCTTTAGGGTCACAGGAGGACATTTATTATGTACCCCTGTGACCCAAAACTCAGCATATAGCGGGCTACTGCAGTCATTGGCTGACAGAGCAGAGCCACGCTACGGTCGGAAAAGATCCAGACAATATTGTCGGGATCCACCCCGCTGCCTGATTGACAGCTGCTTCTGCCTCTCAAAAGACAAATCCCGCCCCCTCCCTCCAAAGAGCGCTGGAGAAACGGAGTGGGGAATCCCTGTGCGGAGAGGGGAATCCCTGTGGGGAGTGGTGACTGACAGTCATCACTCACTGCATGTAGATGATCAGAAACTCAGCGATCAGTGTTTTGTGATCGCTCATGTCTCGATCAATATTTATGGGGATGAGTGCATTTCACTCTGCCCCAAAATAATCCTTTAATTAAGATTTTCTAAAAACTTAAATAACTCCGGGCAAATAAAATCTTAATCTTTGCAGCAGGGCTACCATGAGTAACCCCCCCACTGCAAGTGCTCGCTTTATCTAGGGAACAAAAACAACAGAGATATAGTCACCCGAACCATGATCCCGGCTGGCTCCTAGACCTCTCCCTTCAGCCTAGTTCCCCCTCAGCTCCAGCAGTCTAAGGTCCAGTAAGTCATCACATTGTATAGAAAGTGAGGACGCTGCAAGGGTTAAGGTTTCATTTGCCTGGCGCTCTTCTCTAGGTTTATTGATATATTCTAGGCTTGTGGACAGCAAGGGCTATTTTCACATTCAAACAAAATCCTTTAGGCTGGGTTCACACCTGGGCGTTTTTCAGCGCTAATCGAATCGCTGAAAAACGCTCAGCAAGTGAAATCCCATACTTTCCCATGGGCATGGTTCCCACCTGGGCGTATTTCAGCCTATGGAAACGCGCTGAAAAACGCCCTACGCCCAAGCAAGTACAGGAGCTTCTTTGGGGCGTATTTCCACGCGTATCCATTGGTATTCCCGAGTGTGGCTCAGCTGTTATGGTTCTCCTGCAGATTACATAGCAGATCAGATAGTCTGACAAGTCAGCTCCAAGTGTGTAAGTGATGAAGACAGGGGATAAGCATGGCAGCCATGGATCTAGTAATAATGTAGAATACAGCTGGGTGATCGCGGTGATGAAGGATGGCCACAGGTAACTTAGTGCCAGACACAAGATCACTGACAGATAGGAACAGATTTCCCATATTAAGCTCTGTGAAAGTTTTGGCTGCTCAGCTTATGTGGCACAGAAAACACAGAGTGTGCAGAGATCGGGCATGATACCCCGGGCTGGTCACTGCTGGGAGTAGACACAGCCCTGGTGGCAGGCTCTCCACGTGTCCCATGTGCCACGGGCTCCCAGTCACGTGTCGTACTCCGGCACACCCGGCCACCATCAGACACCCCCCACATACAATCCCGGGCAACATGCCCAGCCTCACCTTGGCGGTGGGGACCACCATAATCTTCTTGAAGTTGTAGAGCGCCATGTCTGCGGCGAGTGCAGCCCCGACCAGGACTCCGAGAGACTGTAAAGGACCGGAAACCGGCAGATGAAGAAAAACGGAACCGGAAATCCAGGCCAGGCACTGGAGCGGCCATGATGGCTATGGGCAGAGTTGCCCATTGTGTTCTGACGGTTGTTTTTTTTTTCACGGCGTTTTGGGGCGTTCCGAAAACAATTCTATTGTATAATATTTGTCAAGCCAGTTATCTGGTTATCCAGAATCAGACTTTTATCCAATGTGAATAGCACTTTTTTTTTTCTAATGACCACCAAATCAAATGGAGGCCATTCGCTACTGACTGCCAGTGTAAAGTGGTCCTTATCCACTGAAAACTAAAGTAAGGTGGCCTTTCTCCACTCATAACCAATGTAAGGGGCCCTTCTCCACTGACAATCAATGTAAGAGGGCCCTTCTCCACTCACAACCAATGTAAGTGGGCCCTCCACTCACGACCAATGTAAGGGTGGCTTCACCACTGACAACTTATGTAAGGGGGCCTTTCTTCATTCACGACCAATGTAAGAGGAGCCCTTCTCCACTAACAACCAAGGTAAGGTGGGCTTCTCCACTAACAATCAATGTCAGGGGGGCCCTCCACTCACGACCAATGTAGGGGGGCCCTTCTCCACTCACAACCTAAAAGCAAGTCAAATGCCAGTACAGTAGTTGCATTAAAGCAATTTCATTGTATTTTTTATTTTTAAATACATACCTGCAATAAGTGGCATTTTTAAATATCTGCTTGGAGTTCAGCTTTAAAAAGCATAAGACAGATAAGTAATAACAGGCATATGGTATATAAGTAATAACAGGCATTTGGTATATAAGTAATAACAGGCATAGGGCATATAAGTAATAACAGGCATAGGGTATATAAGTAATAACAGGCATAGGGCATATAAGTAATAACAGGCATAGGGCATATAAGTAATAAGAGGCATAGGGCATATAAGTAATAAGAGGCATAGGGTATATAAGTAATAACAGTCATAGGGCATATAAGTAATAACAGGCATTGGGTATATAAGTAATAACAGGCATTGGGTATATAAGTAATAACAGGCATAGGGCATATAAGTAATAACAGGCATAGGGCATATAAGTAATAACAGGCATAGGACATATAAGTACGGTAATAACAGGCATAGGGCATATAAGTAATAACAGGCATAGGGCATATACGTAATAACAGGCATAGGGCATATAAGTAATAACAGGCATAGGGTATGTACCGTAAGTAATAAGAGGCATAGGGTATATAAGTAATAACAGGCATTGGGTATATAAGTAATAACAGGCATAGGGTATATAAGTAATAACAGGCATAGGGCATATAAGTAATAACAGGCATAGGGCATATAAGTAATAACAGGCATAGGGCATATAAGTAATAACAGGCATAGGGCATATAAGTAATAAGAGGCATAGGGCATATAAGTAATAACAGGCATAGGGCATATAAGTAATAACAGGCATAGGGTATATAAGTAATAACAGGCATAGGGCATATAAGTAATAACAGGCATAGGGCATATAAGTAATAACAGGCATAGGGCATATAAGTAATAACAGGCATAGGGCATATAAGTAATAACAGGCATAGGACATATAAGTAATAACAGGCATAGGGCATATAAGTAATAACAGGCATAGGACATATAAGTAATAACAGGCATATGGCATATAAGTAATAACAGTCATAGGGCATATAAGTAATAACAGGCATAGGGCATATACGTAATAACAGGCATAGGGCATATAAGTAATAACAGTCATGGGGCATATAAGTAATAAGAGGCATAGGGTATATAAGTAATAACAGGCATAGGGCATATACGTAATAACAGGCATAGGGCATATAAGTAATAACAGTCATAGGGCATATACGTAATAACAGGCATAGGGCATATAAGTAATAACAGTCATAGGGTATATAAGTAATAACAGGCATAGGGCATATAAGTAATAACAGTCATAGGGCATATAAGTAATAACAGTCATAGGGCATATAAGTAATAACAGGCATTGGGCATATAAGTAATAAGAGGCATAGGGTATATAAGTAATAACAGGCATAGGGTATATACCGTAAGTAATAAGAGGCATAGGGTATATAAGTAATAACAGGCATAGGGCATATAAGTAATGACAGTAAACTCCTACTGTTATAAAGGGATTATAGGAATTGTGCCAGTCCACTGAAATGAGAACGTCCATTAAAGCTATCTACGAGTATAGTAAAATCTGTGCAGAACTTTAGATCTTTTTGGAGGTAATGGAGGAGGAACTCATCTTACTAAGTGAAAGGACTAACCATGTTGAGAGGAGAGGACACTGGAAACAATATGATAGTAAGAGGTTGGAGAATAAGTGTGCTCCAGAGATTATGCAAGGGGCAGGATTAGATGGAGCTGCAGGGTGGCTGTAGAATGGGGCAGAAGGTTAGGAGCAGTGAAGGTGGAGAGACAGAGGAGGGTTGGAGAACGATGTTATACATGATGATATGCGCCAGCTCCTCTGCACACAACTTACTATATCATACCCAGGACTGGGAAAACCCAGGCTGCACAGTGCTCTTGGTGAAAGGATCATGTGCCCAGAATACTAGCAACAGCTTTTTTTCATCACACATGTTCTGTGCGGGTAGGCTGTGTTTACTGCATGCATTTTTCTGGCCTATTGAATTTTGAAGGCAGCGTATCTGTAAAATAATCAAGCTTGGGTTCCATATACTGTATGGAACGATATGACATATTAATACCAGGAACAGGAGAATTGTAGAGGGTCTCCAGCTGGTGGATCTTTCCATTCTTTTTTAAAGGAGAACTAGGAGGTGAGTGAAAATCACTCAACCTCATCGTTCGAGCCGACGTGTGGCAATGAAACTGTCACACGTCGGCTCAATAGATTGGGAAGTGAGCGAACACAAAACATCGCTCACTCACTTCTTGATCATCTCCCTGCAGAGAGTCGTGACTGTCACTCACAAAATTCCCCCCCCCCTCCCCGCTCCGATCCTCCAGTGCTGACTGGCGGAATGGATGGGGGAGGGGGCGGGTACAGCTGGCTCTGCCTCTAGATAGGCAGAGCCAGCTGTCACTCACGCAGCTGGGTGGATCTCAACAGTAATGTCGGGACCCGTCCCGCCTGCGGCGGTCTCAGTATACAGCGAGCTGTAGCTCGCGATATACTGAGATTTGGGTCACGGGAGGACACTAGTTTATGTCCTCCCGTGACCCTGAGGAGAATTATGGGGAAAAACACTTACCCCATAGTTCTCCAATTAACTCTACCAATTCTTACCCATACTGGTTTTTGACTGCTGGGTTCAACTCTCTTCCAGGCAGATGCATATTAGGTAAAAGTGAGTTTTAATCACTACATTGATGTGTAAGAAGAAAATAAGAAGTAAAAATCTAATAAAAAACAAGTCACACCATGAACCTAAGATGGCCAGGCGCAATGCTCAAGTTAAAAGCCCTTCTCAGAACACTAGAGGGCAGCAGCATGTAGGTAACATTCTCTCTTTTATTAGCTGCAAGGATTTAGAACTAACTGAATTAACCTTATCCTGGTTTACCAGTGTTGCTGACCTCACCTTCTGAAATTCTATGTCAGCATTCTTTCCAATCAATGACTCTGAGAGGTTAATTTATCAAAACTGGAGCGGACAAAATCTGGAGCAGTTGCCCATGGCAACCAATCAGCTTCTCTCTTCAGTTTGTTCAGTTAAGAGTTCAAAATGAAAGCTTGAAGCTGATTGGTTGCCATGTACATCTGCTCCAGATTTTGTGTGCTCCAGTTTTGATAAATTCCCCTCTGAAAGTAATGACGTTAATGATTGGCCATGATAGCCAACCAACTAGTATGTTCAGACGGGGAGGAAAAGGCAGCTATATTTCCTCAATAAGTCATCTTCTTATCTAGCCACTCCATTGTGTGGCATTAAGTTAAGCATTAACATGCATTGCTTTAAGGTAGGGCTGTGGAAATTAAAGATTAATTTCTCGATTAATCGTTAAACTTTTTGATCGATTAAAATTATTTTGATCGCTAATGAAAACACTCACCTCTCCGCCAGCTTCCGGGAGTCCCGTCAGCAATCCGATGACGTCACGGACATCGACGTCACCGGACTCCTCCCCCCTTCCCCAAGTGGCTCCGTCGGCTAACGAAGTGAAGGGGGTAGGAGTGCGGTCACGTCGATGTCCGTGACGGCTAACGAAGGGAAGGGGGG